GGGTATATCATACAGAAATTTTTTATTTATTATTTTTATTTTATGTGTATGTGTGTATTGCCTGCATGTAGGTAAGTGCACACCTGTCATGCAATGCCCGTGGAGGACAGAAGAGACTGTCGGATCGCCTGGAACTGGAGTTACAGATGGCTGTTAGCTGTTATGTGGGTGTTGGGATTCGAACCTGGGTCTTCCGCAAGAACAGTCAGTGTTCTTAACCACTGAGCCATCTCTCCAGCCCATGATTTTTGCCAACAGTTTTGTCTTGGATGACTGTAGCTTAGAGAACTCAGGAGCCCTGGCTTTGACATGGGAGATCTTAGGGTAGGACATAGAGGCCATGACCACAATCCTTCTTCCTCTCTACTTCCACCTCCGACCTTGGGGTTGCATTGGTCTGGTCTCACAGAAGGACTTACAAATACCTCCCTCCCAAATGACACATGATCTGATGTTGTTTCTTTCCCCCTACAGGCTGTCTACAAGGCCTGGCTGTGCTCAGAATATTTCAGCGTGACTCAGCAGGAATGCCAGCGCTGGGTGCCCTGCAAGCAATACTGCCTGGAGGTGCAGACCCGGTGCCCCTTTATTCTCCCTGACAATGAGGAGATGGTGTATGGAGGGCTCCCTGGCTTCATCTGTACAGGTAAAGGCAGGGCGCTGGGGAGGATGGAGGAGTTAGGGGAGATCGGGGGTATGAGTGCAAGGAGGACACTAAGGGGAATCAGGCTGGATGGAGGTCAATGGCTGGAGGAGTGGAAAACCAGGACCCCAGTTTGAGATAGGGCAGAATGGAGCAGGAAAAAAAGACCAAAGTGGCTATCTCTGGCCAGAATATGCTGAACTGGGGTGTAGAAAACGATGGGGTTCCTGGGAGAAAATAGCTGAGGCGGGAATGTGTGAAGGCCAGCCGCGGGCGGGGGATGAGCAATTCCAGCTGCGAACATCTCTCCAGGTAAGGCAAAGCCATCAGTCCCCTGAGCACCCCACCACTCCTTCTTTATCCATTGACAGGGTTGCTGGATACTTCACCAAAGCGGCCGGAAACCAAGTGCTGTGATGTGCAGTGGGTCTCCTGTGAGTCTGAGAAGAAGAAGTTCAAGGAATCTGAGGCCCCCAAAACCCACCACCAGCAATTTCACCACTCCTATTTCCACTATTACCAACAGTACCACCACTACCATCCCCACCATGATCCCCCAGGCCGTGCCAGCCACAAGCCCCCCCTCTTGCCGGTCTCTGGGGGCTCCCGCCTCAGCCCCAGCAGGATCCGGCTCTGTGTCCTTGTTCTTATGCTCCTCCATACCGTAGTGTCCTTCTCCAGCAACCAGGGTGGTGGGGGACTGGGGCTGGAGACAGTGCCTGCCCTAGAGGAGGGCCTGACACAGGAAGAGTGACAGAAGAGAGGGAGGGCAGACCTCCACCACACACTGACATCAGCTCCAGCCCCCCTCCACATAGGGGGGAAGGAGTTCCTCCCATGGGAGGTATAGGACCAGGTGGGGGCGGGAGGAAATGGGGGACCAGACATCGCCCCCCAACCTGCTCCCACCCCCAAAGCAGCTCCAACAGAATGGCCGGAGGGCCCCAGGGAGCTGCAAAACTCACCTGGGAGAAAAAGATAGGAGCAACAGTGTCTCCTCCCAAGCCCCACCTAATGGGGCTTAGTAAAAAAGTGTGAGGGGGGGTTGGGGGTGAAATTGTCCACCCCTGCCAAGAGCCCTGACCCTGGGGAAGGAGGCTGCTCACCCAGCCTCGGCCCTGCTGGGAATGTTGGGGGGCACAGAGGGGAGTAGTTCTCCCCCCTCCGCATTCCTTCTGTTGCCAAGATCCTTAATTCCCTCCTGCCCATATCCCTACAGGCTACAACGGCAGACAGTGCGGTTGCCCTCCTGCCACTTCAGTGCACCCTGTATGTGGGGCCAGGTGAAGCATCAGGCTGGGAGATGAGGCACACAGTTGTAGCTAGGTCGGGGCCCCAGTTAAGTTGCACCCCTCCCACCTTAGACAAGGAGAGGTTGGAACTGGATATGGAATAGGTGGTAAAGAGAATAAAAATGTGGAAGGGGAGAGAAGAGAGAAGTGGACAGAGGGCCTGGAGAGATAGTTGAATGGACTACTGCTACCTGGCTATGGGGAGGTAGGTGATTAGGGTTGTGCAGGCTCCAGAACTGCTCCCCAAATCAGGAAGAGGTGCACAAGGAGCTCTGTGGGGGAAAAAAAATCCCAGGAGCCAAAACTAGAAGGTTGAGGGCACATGACTGGACTGCCGCTGTCTGGAGGGCCATATCTTACAGAAGGTGCACACACTCCCTAGGGCTGCTCTTGCCCTGGAAATCTTGGCCTTGTGGCCACAGAGCTTTCATTTCTGATCTCCACAGAGAGGAGGGACTTGAGCCCAAGTGGGTCAGGCCTGGCCTGGGTCCTCACACTCCTTTATCTTGTTCTAGCCCAGGCCTCCATGAAGGAGAACCTGGTGGTATTGCCCTAGAGCTCTCCAGAGATGAGCCTCTGCAACCCAACCCTATCTCCAACCCCAGCCTACCAAAGAGTATTTATCCCTTCCCATCCCTGACCTCGTGGCTTACTGTCCTACTGTGGGACAGCCAGACTGCTCCTCACCCTTTAGCAGGTCCCTTTCTCTAGTCACCCCTTGCCCTTGCTGGACAAAGTTCAGAGACTGGCGAGAGGGCTCTTTAACTGGAGATAATGTGCTGCTGCTGACCCTTGGCTGAGAAACTTTAGTCAGGCTGGAGGGCTGAGTGAGAGATGAGGCATAGACAGTCCCTTGGGAGCCCTAAACTTTTCACTGATCTGAAGGGGGAGGGAAGCCACATTGCCTGGGCTTCCAAAAGCCGATAGACCTGACAAGAACAGGAGCTAGACCTGTGTGGGACAGGCCAGTTTCTTTCAGGGGTTAAAAGAATGAATGAGGGAGGACAGGCCTGGAGCAGCATTCTACTGAAACTGGGGAAGGAGGGAGGCAGAGCTGGACCTTGCCAGCTTTGGGATGAATGAGTCCTCCCTAGTAGAGAAGAATTGCTTCATTCAAGGGCCATGGCTGGGTCCCAAATCAGCTTTTTGAGCCTAGGGAACCCGTCCCTGCCAGTTTACTCATGTCTCATAGCCTGTTCCCCGGCAGTGTGACCCCCATCCTTTGGCCCTCAGCATTTCGGGCCTGGCCACATACCCCATCCCTAGAGTGCTTTTCAGCTGGGGAGGGGAAGAGGTGCTGGCTCCTTTCCAGATGTGCTTATGTATAAGTGAAAAGCAGGGTCTTGGGCTTCAAGAGCCCCAGGTACTGCCTTCTAACTTCTGCATCCTCAGGAGGGGAAAAGGGACTGGGCAGCAAAGGGGAACAACATGGCCCCAGGGAATGAACCCTTGGAGACTCCCATCCTCTCTTCCCCCTCACCAAGTGCCCAGGAGACCCCTGGCTCAGACCAGCCCAAGGCCTTGCCCAGTAGCAGGGGAAAGGGGCACCACACTCCACCTCAAAGTCATTTACCCCACCGCCCTGATTTCCACCACCTCTCCAGCTGCCCCTGCCCTCCGTCACAGGCAGCAGAGCTGGGCAGCTTTCTTATGCCATTTTCTACACTGTGCTTCATGAGTAGGACTTTCTTGCACTAGTTCCTATGACTGAGTCTCCAAGCTGGTTTCCTAGTAGTCCCCCATTCCTTCCTCCCTTCCCTGGCTATGGTTCAGTTGTCTCTGCCCTCCCTCTTACCTGCCTCTGTGTTTCAGTGAGAGTGTCTGTATGTGTACTGCTTTCTGTTCTTTTGCATTGTGGGGCAGAGGACTCTGCTCTTGTTTAACCCCATAAAGAAATAAATGGTAAGACTTGATGATAACTCTCCTGTCTTGGATTTGCTCTTTGGAGTCCATCTTGCTGCCAAAGGAAACACTCTTAAGGTCTGGAGAGAGCATTGATCCAGAGGATGCTGACCCTGTACCTGGCCTCCTGGCAGTTTAAATCTCAGAAAAAAAAACATGAACTTTGTAGTTGGTCATTCTAGACAAGGAAATGTAAAGTCAACCAATGGTTGTGGTCAGGCAGGTAACTAAGACATGAAGGCAAAGCTGAGGAGAAGTGTAGACTCAGCCTAGAGTGGTGAGAACTGCATGGTATATGGAAAAGGCAAACCTCAATACCAAGGCTGTGCTGTGGGAATGTGGGCCCAGTGTGGCCACTGGCCATTCTGACTGTAAAGGAAGCCAGGACTCAAGATTTTGACACGATGCCCCCTAATTCCTAAAAGGCAACCAACCTCCTTATCTAACTCCATGAGGGTCACTACACTAGGCTCATCTTCGCACTGCAAGAGCAAAGGACACTCAGCAACTGCTAAAGGGGCAGCAGACGGGGCCTTGTGCTACAGTACCTCTTTCCTATGAATGGAGAAAAGGAGAGCATGATTAGGCTGAGCTGCCAGACTGCTTTTCAAGGAAACACCCCACCTTCACCAGATTCCCTCCAAAGCAGCAGATCATGGACCTTAGCAAATGGCCTCTGAAGCCAGACCGTGTCTAAAGTCGAGTCAGCACTTACCATGAGAATGTGATGATGTACATAAGCACTTGGTACTACAGCTGGCACAAAAGAGCCACTCAAAGGCCAGTCACTGATGAGTCAGTCTTCTACTCCCACCTCAGTCAACAAATTCTGTCATCCGCCCCCTGCACTAAGGCCATCCCTCCTTTTCACCCTGACTCTTACTAAGCCATATCAGGCACCTTAGTACTTCTACCTTGGACCATGGTGATAGCCTTAGCTATTGTTCAACTAATCTCTTGTTTAGTTACTCTGACTCCAGTCAGTAGCACAGTTTCAGGCACTATGGGGGCACTCAAGAGAACTGCTGCCATGATTGAGTTTCCTAAAGGACACAGCTAAACTTCCTAAAGGTGATATATCACACTCCTCGAAAACACACACACACACACACACACACACACACACGTAAACACCCCATAAAGACCATGAGATGGCTCCACACTGCCTGTAGAATGAAGGGAAAGTTCTGAGCATGACACTTAAGACTGTTTATCAGTCTGATCTACCATGCACTCATATCTCAGCCTGTCCCCAGCTAGTTGTTTCCTGAATGAAACCTGCACCTTCTCTTCTCCTGCTCTTTGCTCTCATCAGTTTCCTCTATCTGGAATGCCCTCTCTCCATCTCTGCCCACCACTGGCTTCCCTGGGCTTCATAAGGCAGTTTAAAATGCCACCTCTGCTATGAACACTTCCACATCCTTCCCTTTCTCAAGTGGGAAATAATCGTTTTCCTCTAGACTTTGATAATGCTTTGTACCTTAATCATGGTACTTATCACATCCTATGATCCACTTATTCTTTCATTCAAAATATACCTATGAATCAATTACAGTGTGTCAAGCACTGTGTTGAGTGCTAGCACTACAACAGGATAGATGCATTCTAGAAACACAACATGACCTTTTTCATTATACCATAATATACTTCCCATAACATTTACATTTAGCATGTTAGTCTCACACATGTTCATGAAGAACAAGCCAGGCTTTCTTGGCTTCAGGGATAGGACAGAGAGGTGGATCCTCTAAGCACACACAAAAAGCTTGGGGGAAGGATACCCATCTAGAGAGTAGGAGGTATAAAGGCTGTGCCAAGCAAGTAGCTCTGCAAGTCTTATACCGCCCTTTGACTCCTGGACTAAGCTAGTGTCCACCCCATAGACATCTCTTTGAGCTCCCCACTCTAACCAGGTCCAGACTCTGACACTCTCCCTCAGGTCAGTCCACCTGCAACCAGCCTCCATCTCTTAGCTCAGCGTGAAGAGGGGAGGGAGGACTCCAGTGGCTTACAAACATAGCCCTGTATAACAGTCACCTGGAGAACATTAGCATAGGCCCCACAAGCAAAGAGTCTAATTTAATTAGTGTGGGGTGAGGGCCCCAGTTTCAGCCTTGTTTAACAAACTCCACAAGTGGCTTTAATGTGCAGCCAGGCTTGGAAATCACTAGTGAAGAGAAGACTACAGCTACATGGTCCTTGTTATTTCAGCATAAGTGGTGCTAGAGAAAGGCCACTTACAATGAAGCCACTTGAAATGGGGCCCAACATTTCATAGTAGAGTCGGGAAAGGGGAAGGCTTGATTGAACCTTATCTGGGAAATAAAATAGAAAATGTGGAAAGTACTTTCATTTCTATTTAAAATGTGCAAATAATTGCAAATATGCATTAATTCTTAGAATGAACAAAGAGTGATTCAAACATTATGGGATAATGTAATTTTCCTGACAAAGTGCATGATAGCATAACACTGACTTTTGCAGCATAGCCATAAGCAGAGTTTTGTTTTTCCAAAATTAGAGAGCTTCTTCAGTTATCCCAAGGACCTCTTAGAATTCTTTGAGAGTTCAATAGTTCTCTTTGAAGCCTTGATCCCATCATTACCCAGGTCAATCTGCCAGAGGTAACTGATCTATCGCTGCCAAATCCCCATTTGTCAAGGGTTTTATGTGACATTAGAAATGATCGCCAATATCACTTTCACTGACTTCATGAATCGTGAATCTTTTTTAAGACTTGCAGTTTCATTCTGAGATTTATTTGCATTGTGTAATATTATAACAATTAATGAGAGATTGGGGCTGGAGAGATGACTCAGCAGTTAAAACCACTGGCTGCTCTTGCAGAGGATCTGGGTTTGAATCCCAGCACCCACATGGCAGCTAACAATTGTCTGTAATTCCAGTTCCAGGGAATTCGACACCCTCTTCTGACCTCCATACATGAAAGCAATACACTCATAAAACAAAAGTAATAAAATATTTTTAAAAAAACAATGAGAGAGTTTTAAAAATCTTAAGAATGGGTGTGGATAACAGAATTGGCATAAGTGGGAAGAGGGGCTTCTGTGAGACTCAAAATAGTGAGCATTTTATGCTTTGACAACTTTGCTTTTCTACTCAACTGCCCCCTTTTCCTTTTGGGGTTTGGCCTCTAAAACAGAGAAATAGGATTAGATGTTATGGAGTTAAACAAAGAGTCAAATAAAGTAAGATATGTGAAGGCATTGGGTTCAATTGCTAGCACAGAGGAACTTCTTTTAGGAGACGCCTAGGGATAAAGAAAGGGAAGGGTAGAAGTCCATCACAACAACTAGACAGAAGCCCCAAGAACTTCTGCCCCAGGCTCAAGGTTCTGTAATACCGCCATTACCCCCTGTAACATTCACTGTGGTGGGTCACAGAAATCTACTCGCTTAACACTGAATGCCCATGGGGTTAACTATCTTAGGGTGGAGAATGGGTGTCTACAGGTCACTCAGATAGAGCCTCTGCCCTCAAAAAGCTCCTGGCCTTGACAGGGAAAAAGCTCTGGACAGAAATCACTCAAAATACCTGTAGAATCTGAGAGTGTCTCCGACTTCTATTGGTGTCACCTAGTTCAGGCCACCATTGACTCATAGACCAGAGACAGAGACCTCTCGTCTAGTCTTTTGGCTTCTGATCTTGTACCCTGCCTGCAACAACCTTGTAAAGATACAAACCATATCACATCCCCCTGCTAACATCCTCCCATAATTTCACATCACAGTCAGAATAAAATCTGGACCCTTTATCATGGTCCACAGGGTTCTACACAGCCTGCAGCAACTTGCCTTTCTCCCCAGTCTTATCACTTCCCTCACTCACTGCTAGCCACTTGGCCTGTTTTCTCCTTTGCCCTGCTGAGCTTGTGTTTGCAGATCCTCAGCTTCAAATGTTCTTCCCACATTTGTGCAAAGCTGACTCTTCATTATCAGGTTTCAGCTCACATATCACTTTTTCAGAAAGGCTTTTCTTGACTACTCAAAGTATAGCAGTGCCCTTCTTGACCCAGATACTCCATCATGCTATGCTTTTTATACCATCAAGACTGCTTGGCACTATTTGAAATAGTAAATGGGCATAGGACAATGGTTTTTACATTGGCTTTCTTATGTATTGCCTCTCTCCATTTGAATGCAAGCTCTAAGGCAGAAAAGGACCTTGCATTTCGTGTTCACTATTTCTCTACTGTTTAGTCAAGATCCACAGTGTGAATGAATGTAGAGGTGGTGAGTGGTTCATCTGGGCAGGAGAGAGTGGTTTAGGCTGTGCAGGGTGAGTGAAAAGAGATTTGCTTGAGGTCAAAACATGGAAGGCCTTGAAGGTTGGTCAGACCAGGAAATTTGGGCTTCATATCTTGGTTCATTGGGAGCCACTGAAGATTGTTGAGCTTGGGAGAAATATTACCAGGTGATTAGGAGCAAGAGTCATCTAGTGCCAAGTGCCCGATGGATTAGTTGATGAAGTGATTAGAGGGTCTGCTTTAGAAAGCCCATCAACCACTAAGGGCCCAGCCTTCTCACTTGCCTGCCTTCAGGCCTTTGCAGGGGGTGGATTAACCCAGCTCTCATTTCTTTTGGGGCCACTCAAGAGCCCTGACTGCGGTTCCCCGACACCGGCCGCTGGGTGGTGCTGTGGCTCCTCCTACCCAGGCTGGAGGCGCCAGGGAGGCGGAGGCTTGGACGCCAAACCCGTCCTGACGCTGGGGTCGGTGGTTGCCCGCCCGGCCGGCCTTTTCTCCTTGCCCTCCTTCTCCCTTTTCGCGCGCTTCCCTCACTTCCAGGCCTTTTCCCTCCTTCTTCTGCACTCAGGTCCCCAGTGGCCTGCCCTCCTTTGCCTCAAACTGCCTTGGCTTTCCCACTGCCCCACCAGGCCAAAGGCGGGCGAGGCGGGGGCCTGGGCGGGGCGCAGGAGTCTGGGCGGGAGGGCCTACCTCGAGATCCTTGTAGGCCCGGGCCTTCCGGAACCCCTGCGATGGGGCCCAGCACCC